AGACTAGCGCCGCCGCAGACGCCGCGGAACCAGTCTCACATGCACTAAACGAAACGAGACTTGATTAGACCTTCTTCTTGTATTCTATTATTTTCTAATAATCTAAGAATTAATAGAAATGAGAAATACACTTGGGAATAGACAGATTTTAAAGGAAATACTACTTTTTGAATATTTCTTCAACAAACACTTTTTTCTTTCAATATTTTTCTTCAATATAATAAGTCGGCAAACGAGAAAGCAGCGCAAAGCGACTGCTGCCCATAGTTATTCCCATTTACAGCAACTTTGTCTACTTAGCAAAAGCTTTGAGGTGAAGACTCGAATTAGGCCTCGGCACACTTAACAGAGACGCCGAATTCCTTCCACATCTGTATTCTGTATTCGTATTTTCTGTCAAAAAGGAGTTTGTATTATAAAATAAAAGTAAATGTGGAATTAGCCTGTACTGACACATATAGCAGGGTGTTAGCGCCGGCGGGGGTGAGATTGGCGAGCACGGGCGCGGCGGGGCCGAGCGCCGCCAGCCGCGCCCTCAGCGCCGCCGCCTCCCCGCGCGACACCAGCTCGCGCAGCGCCACGTGCTGCGCCACCCGCTCCCTTTCTAACGCATCTGTACAACAAATACATAACATGTAAATTATAGCATACTAGCTGTCACCCGCGACTTTGTCCGCGTGGAATTAAAAACAATAGCAAGTTAGCCTGTGTTCTTCCAGGCTTTCCTCTACATGTATGCCGAATTTCATCGAGATCCGTTCAGCAGTTTAAGCTACAAACTCTACCAAACATCCATCCATCTAAACTTTCACATTTATAATATTAGTATGGATTATTATTTCTAACATGACTTTCAAATTTACGAAGAAATTTGTATTTATCAGGATAATTGGCAATTGCTAAATTGTGACTTACGATAGTCTGCGTAGTAACCATCCATACTTATTTAATTTTTGTAACAACAATATAAAAGTCAATGGAATAATTGGAATATAACATCTTACTAATATTATAAATGCGAAAGTTTAGATGGATGGATGGATGTTTGTTAGCGTTTGTAGCCTAAACGGCTGAACGGATCTCGATGAAATTTGGTACAGGTTTAGAGCATACTCAGGAACAACACATAGGCTACTTTTTATCCCGGGAATAGTTACGGTGCCTGCGAGATGCATTAATTTTGTATTTTAATGTTTACTCGATCACTCTGCAAGGGTTCAACATATCTTATTGAAATTTGGCACAGATATAATACAAAGTCCGGAGTACACATGGGATAAAGTTCATCCCCGAGAAATGTCCGGTTCCCGAGGGATACGGAACTATTTGTAATTTATATAGTTTGTATGTTTTCTAATACCACGCAGACGAAGTCGCGGGCAACAGCTCGTAATATTATAAATTCTGTTGTATTTCCAAATAAACTATATAAACCAAACAACAAATATAAAAGTCAATGGAATATAACATTAACAGCAAATAAAGATTCAAATCTCAGACAGACAGACATACGGATATCCGTCCTTTATACTAATTTTAAACATCAATAATATAAATATTTTCATTCACAATAATTCTTGTAACTATAAACAGTTGTATCCGTGAGAAAAAACAGTAAAGTAAAAAAAATATTTAGCGTCGACAGAAATGTGTGTGCCAATGTTTGCAGTCAACATTATCGACGAATTCTAGGAACCGGTTTGTTCAACATTCTTAACTAGTAATTGCACCCGACATATCCTGCTGTATTCATTTAAATACGTAATTTACTTTGCAGTTAGTATTTACTAATCTATACTATTATAATAAAGCGTAAACACACACTTTGTTGCCTAAGATGTCGGCAATTACACCATATTTTTGAATAATTCTTTTTTTAATAAAAAGCGATACATTTACGTCACGCTTTAGGCTATACATTTTCACGCCATTAAACTTAGGGGGTAAATATTTTGGATAAAAACACTAATGTGGGAAAGAGACCAAGTCACTGCTAACATCAAGAAAGCAATGTTGCCATGGTTTGTCATGTCATGTCATTTTGACATTTGCTATCAATATGTTAATAAAATTTTCATAATTTCATGCGGATAAAGCCGCAAGGGAACACCTATGTGAGATATTTATAGTATACGAGCTGTTGCCCGCGACTTCGTCCGCGTGGTATTAGAAAACATACGAACTAAATGAATAACAAAAAGCTACGTATCCCTCGGGAACCGGACATTTCTCGGGGATGAACCTCATTCCATGTGTACTCCAGACTTTGTTTTATATCTGTGCCGAATTTCAAAAGTATACGTTGAACCGTTGCAGAATGATCGAGTAAACATTAAAAAAATAAATTAATGAATCCCACAGGAACCGTAACTTTTCCCGGGATAAAAAGTACTCTAAGTGTTCTTCCAGACTATTCTCTAAACCTATGCCAAATTACATGGAGATCTGTTCAGCCGTTTGGGCTACAAACGCTAACAAAGATCCATCCATCCATCCATCCATCTAAACTTTCGCATTTATAATATTAGTAAGATTATAAGCTATGTAAGATATTTATTATATATTATAATAAAACAAACTGTGCAAATAAGAGTACGGACCAAGAGTCTGTAGAAGTTGAAAAAAAAAAAAAAGATAAAACTCTAAATGTATTCAGATTGTAATACAAAGCCTCATTATTATGCTATTTAAGTTATTTGATAACGTTGTAGACATATCTTTTATTGATGATCTTATCTCTATTAACCAAGCGGAATGAAAACATATTTCGATTCTCATAAAAAATCAAACAAAAAAATGGGACCCACCTGCAAGCATTACCTTTCGGATAAAAAAAGAATTATCAAAATCGGTCCACTAGCGGCGGAGATATGCCGTAACACACATAAAAAACATACAGACAAATTGAGTACCTTCTTCTTTTGGGAAGTCGGTCAAAATTTTATTAAAAACTTAAGTTGGCACATCACGTAAAAGAGTTTAGATATCCAACACGTGCCAACTGCCGTATCAAAGTGCCAATCTAACCTTCTTCCACCCAAGGGTCAGCGACATCTTCTACAAAGTAATAAGCAGCGTCATACGCGTGCTCGGGAGCTGCTGCAGGGGACAGCTTGTGTCCATCAACAGCTTGCTCGCTCAGCCGCGCTTGACGAGCTGCAGCACGGAACTTGCCCAGCATGCTAGCTGGTCAAGGCGTAGCTTACAAGCTATATTGCTGTCTATTCCAATTGAATCTCTTATTTTTTTTGTATTTGGTTGTTTTTGTAGTACCAGTTATCGTCATCATTTGTTTTTAGTGTTTTTTTATTTATTTTTAGTTTTAATATGCACTTTATTTATCATATTTTATCAATTGCCAGTTATAAAACAATTATAAGTTTTATAAGAGTGCTAGAAAATATCCAATTTTTAACGGTTTATCTATATTATAAAGAGGAAAGATTTATATTTTTGTATGTATTAAAATAACTCAAAAACTACTGGGTCAATTTTAAAAATTCTTTCACCATTAAAAAGCTACGTTACCACTGATTACTGAAATTTTTCACTATTTATTAATTTTACGCGGGCTAAGTCACGAGCAATAACTAGACTATACTAATATTATTATAAGGTAAACATTTTTATTTTTGTTTGAATTGAAATAACTCAAAAACTAAACGGCGAATTTCAAAAATTCTTTTACTATTAAAACACCTCGTGAATAAAACACACAGAGTATATTTTGTTAATTTCACGCGGACAAAATCGCGAGCACCAGCTAGTTTTATATTTCGGCTACAAAGTCAATAATTTACTTCATGTAATGCATACCGGTGCGGTCTTCGCAGACGACTCTAATCCTATTAAGGCAATGTCTTAGACGCCACATGTCTACCCACGTGTAACTTGACGTAAACCTGTTTTGCAACTTACATTCTTAGAACTCACTAAAATAATGAAGATACACTGCGGAAAGAAATTTCAATTTAAATACTGAATTCATTGTCTTCATTATAATATTTCCGAGCATGCGGTCGAGGGTTCGATTCCCGCCATTTGAATACTGTGGAACAAGCGTAGAGCGTCGTTGGAATGGTAAATATTACTAAACTAGCATTAACCCGCTACTCCGGCCGCGTGGAATTAAGAAAAAAGTGAATAGCCTATGTGTTCTTCCAGGCTATCATCTACATCCAGACCATATTTCATCGAAATCCGTCCAACCGTTTAGGCTACAAACTCTAACATCAATCCATCCATCTAAACCTTCGTATTTATAATATTAGTATGAAGTATGTTAACAAAAATCTACTGATATTAAAAAATAGATATCGCATAGAGTTATGAAGCGGTAGGGGTTCTGTTTAATCTAGGGACACTATTATACCCGTAAATAGAAACAAGTAACCAGTTGTTTTTTTCTTAAAATATAAAATGATATAAATCTCAGAAGGCAATGAACTGCTGACCTTTTATATTCTCATAAACTTTGAGGAGACACTGAGAAGAAATTCTATTGTTTTAAAATTGTGAGAAAATTTACAATAAAATATATATTTTAAAATAAATATACTAGCTTTCGTCCGCGACTCCGTCCGCGTGGAATTAAAAAAAAACAAAAGCGAATAGCCTATATGTTCTTCCAGACTATCCTCTTCATCTATGTCAAATTTAATCGAAATCCATTCAGATGTTTAGGCTACAAACTCTAACAAACATCCATCTAAACTTTCACATTTGTAATATTAGTAAGATAAGATCTCATTCATGAAATAGGGAACTAGTTTAAATTATAAATAAACAAGCAGTTGCTTGTGACTTCGTCCGCGCTAGGTTTAAATAATGTAGCCCATGTTACTCAGGGATCAAGTATATTTAATGTCGAAAGATATTTTAAATCGCCTATACATACAAAAATACAAATCTTTCCTCTTTAATAGTAGTTGATTAATGATACATTACCATCACGGCTTCGCACTCGATATTATTTTTTTAAATAAATGTTAACAATATAAAATATAGTCTATATCACTCATTAATAATTTAGTATTTTAATAGTAAAGGATTTTTTAAAATCGGTCCAATAGTTTTTGAGTCTATACGTTACAAACATATAGAAAAAAATCTTTATAATGTCAACTGTATATACTATGTTGACAGCGCGCACACCTTTGACTAAACTCTGTATAGTCTCTCTTGCTATGAGCTTATACGGACCGCACATTACTCGATTTTTAATTATGCAAACAAAATTGGCTGCGACACAATCGCACAACGGTTGTGTCAAAAGCCCGTTAAAACACCTACACCTGTCATTACAAATTAATTCCGGAGATAGGACCAGTCTAATACGAACTGACAGTAAGGTCGATCCCGTCGCTAGAATTGTGAGTTAATTCTTATCATAAAAGTAAATATCTATACTCTATACTATTATAATAAAGCGTAAACACACACTTATTTGTTGCCTAAGATGTCATGAACTACAGCATATTTTTGAATAATTCCTTTTTAAATAAAAAGCCCTACACTTACGTCACGCTTTAGGCTATTTTTTTCACACCATTAAACTTAAGGGGTAAATATTTTAGATATAAACCCTAATGTGGGAAAGAGACCATAAATTGC